CTCAGATTCACTCTACAGCCTGAGTTATTGTTGTCGCTCCAGCCTTGGAACAAACACGCTTGACACTAACGAAGTCAATTCAGAAGTAAATTAGAGGTTAACAGTAAGTTCACTCTCTATCTGGTCGGCTAATAGTACAGCTTAACTCGTCTTGCAAATTGTATACAAAAGGAAACTGGCCAATCAAAGCACAGTATTCGAGGAAAATTCAACAACATCAAATATACGGTGTTGTTGAAGCTGCCTTTCAGCAGGACCATCATTTCGCCAACAACAGTTATGGACATGGACGTTCATTCCTATCGTATGCACTTTTCTTTTACTGTATCCCTTGTCACCATCCGATTGTTGATTACCCTGGGCCACGCAGTGTATGCCAACAATTCGGATGTAATACAATTCCCTTTTTAAGTACCTTGATGCGCAGCCGCATCACTGGAGATTCTATCTCACCACATGAGTTGACAGGTGGCGTCTGTTCTGTGGTTTTCAGCAAAATTTATGTGGCAGGAATGTGAACTCTGCGCACTACCACCTGTTGAAGAACAGAATCATGATTCCCGCTGCCTACTTGCAACCCCCGTTCTTCGATGGCAAGGCGGACCCGTCCGCCAACTATGGCGCGATTGGCGTTGTCATCGGCCACGAAATCACCCACGGCTTCGAGAACCGTGGCAGCAAATACGACGCCGACGGCAAAAAGAAAACGTGGTGGAAGGAAACCACGGCGAAACTATTCAGCGAAAACTCCGAGTGCTTCGTCCAGCAGTATGGGTCCATGGACGTCAAAAGCGAGCTCACGGGGGATTTGCTCGGCAAGTTGGACTGCAATTTGGCATTGCGGGAAACACTCGCTGACAATGGGGGCGTCAACACTGCGTAACGGGCGTACCCCATCTTGCATAAACCAAAAGTTTGAACGGTTGATCTGCAGCTGATGATTGGACGGCGTTTCGACGTAATCATCAGAGTTCTGGCAACTCTGGAGAAAGGCCCCCGTATACCCCCCGCTTCTCTGTCAGTAACTACGAAAATGTCAGTGGAATCTGATCAAAACCGGTACAGCTCCAACCACTTCGGGCGGTTTAAGTTGCTTTTGAAGGGCTATGGTGTCCTTCAGATTGCTGCACTTAAGGTGCGTGGCACCAGCAAGCCCACAGCGAACGGTTCGAGTACTGACCTCGAATGGTCTAGGCTCGGGTGCTTTGCTTGCTGAGCTACCCGTTCAAGCTGAA